GAGCAAGAAATACAAATACAAGAAAATGAATTTAATAGAAGAGTTAATATATATCAACAAAGTAATACTAATGAGTTAGAAATCCAAATACCTCAAAATGAACTAAATAAAAGATCTATTGCATAACAAAATAGAAGAAATCGTGAAAGAGCAGAGAATTCAATAAATCAAAGAGCTATTTCTCAACAAAAAAGAAGAGCACGTGAAAAAGAAGTTGTTACAATAAATCAAATAAGTTCTTCTCAACAAGTTAAAAGTGAATATGAAAGAACTGAAAATATAGTAAATAAAAGATCAATTTCGCAACAAGAAAGAAGACGATGTGACAGAGAAGCTAACGAACAAACTCAAAGTGAAAATGAGCAAACAAAAAGAGCATGTACTATATCTCACAATGAACTATTATTACAATTTCAATACAATAACGTAAGACATAATCTTGGACATATGAATGCTGTTTGTGTTCACTGTGGAGCACTTCATTGGTTAGAAGAACATTTAGTAAAATCTTTAAAAACTAATCCAAAATTTGGAAAATGTTGTAATCATGGGCAAGTTATTCTTCCACTTCTTTGAAATCTGTCACTTCTATTGCAACAATTTTTTGAGGGTCAAGATGCTCAATGTAAGGAATTTCGTGCAAATATTCACCAATATAATGCAGCATATGCATTTATTTCACTTGGAGTAAATATTGACAAATCAGTTTTTAATGGACATTCTCTATATGTCTTTTAAATTCACAGTGAATTGCAGCATCATTCTGGTTCTCTTATTACAGAATCCTTTACAGATGCAACTTATACACAACTTTATATTTATGATCCAGATATTGCTCAACAATTAAGAATTAGTTGAAATAATAATTTAAATTGACAAACAATTTGGTAACTACAAGAAATTCTTAGAGAAAATCACATATTTTATCTTATTTATCATCAGGCTCATGAAATTCTTTCTCAAACTCGCATAGAAGATCTCTCTGAAAATGATTTAGCTGTTTATCTTTATTTCGACAATATAACTGATAGACGTCGTTATAATCTTCTAACTTCTAACAAAATAGCTGTTATTTTACCTGGTGATGGTTCAACTCCTGAAGCAATACATGATATTGTACTTCGTTTACATAGAGATCCACTTCAACGCATTCATGAAGGCCATCCTGCATATTTACCTCTTCATTACATACTTTTTTTTCCTTATGGAGATCTTGGTTGGCATGCAAAAATGCGTCAAACTTTACTTGATGATAATGGACATCCTGCTGAAAATCAAAGCAAAGCACCATGTTTTATACAAATGGATTATTATTCTTTTCATCTTTTTTCTCGCTATAATGAGTTTTCAACTATTCTTCATGGTAGAAAATTGCTACAAGAATTCATGGTTGATGCTTGGGCAGCAACAGAACAAAATCATCTAAGATTTTTATGGTTAAACCAAGATTCATTATGAGCAGATGCATATCAAGGTCTAGCTAATACAGTTGGAAATATTGCAAATAACAAATTAAATCTAAATAATCTTGAACATCGTATAATTCTTCCTTCATCACACATTGGAAGTATATAATATATGTTTGAGATTTTTCAAGATTCATTAGCTATAACTCGATTCTATTACCATCCTAATATTTTTGGAACCATGATAGCAAATCTTAATTGGCCAAAAATTACTAATGAATTACTACCTAGACAAAGTTCTGTAGATAGGCCTGACTTGATAGCACGTGTATTTGAACTTAAGTGCCATGCCCTTCTCAATGATATTAAAACCAACAATATTTTTGAAAAAGTAGCAGCTTACATTTATACAATCAAATTTCAAAAACGTGGCTTACCTCATATGCACTTTTTGATCTTTCTTTATAGAGATGATAAGATAAAAGAGCCTAGTAATGTTAATTGTATTGTAAGTGCAGAGTTTCTAGATCCAGATTCTAACCCCATTCTTTTTGATATAATTTTGCACTGTATGGTTCATGGTTCTTGTAGAGCCTGTAATCCTAATATACTATGTATAGAAAATGGTATATGCCAAAAAAAATATCCAAAAGACTTTAATAATACAAACAACAATAGATGCTGATGGATATCCTCATTATGCTAGAAGAGATAATAGTTGCTTTAATATTGGTAACAAAACTATTAATAATAGAGATATAGTACCATATAATCTTACTCTTAGTCGAAAATATAACTGTCACATAAATATTGAAGTTTGTGCTTCTGTTAAGGTATATATGCAACTAACTTTATTAACTTATTTGAAATATTATATTTCTATTTACTTATTTATTTTGATATTACCTGTATATATAGGCTGTCAAATATATCCACAAATATATTTATAAAGATCATAATAGAGCTACAATGTGATTTGGCTATAAACTTGATGAAATTAAACAATACATCGATGCTAGATATATTGGTGCACCAGAAGCAGCCTGGAGACTATTTGAAATGCATTTACATGAAGAAGTGCCAAATGTTGTAAGATTAGCATTACACCTTCCAAAGATGTACCAAATAGTCTTTGAACTAAATGATGATGCTTCAAATTTTCTTTCTCAAGAAAATCGTAAAAAAACATCACTTACTGAGTTTTTTAAAACATGTGCCGATTTGGAGTTTGCTCACTAATTTACGTATCTAGAGTTTTCACAACATTTTGTGTGGAATAAAACAACCAGAAAGTGGATGATTAGAAAACAAGGATTTGCAATTGGATGTTAGTATTTTGCAGATTCTTCTGCTAAAGAACGATATTACCTTCAGTTGTTATTAGTTAGTGTTCATAGTCCACAATTATTTAATCACTTAAAAACAGTTAACAATATTTTATATCCAACTTTTAAAGCCACATATATAGCTCTTAACCTATTAGAAGATGATGGAGAATAAAATCAATGTTTAAATGAAGCTTCTACTATATGCAGTGGTTCACAACTAAGAACACTTTTTACAATTATCCTTACTCGGTGTACTCCTACATTTCCAGAAAGATTATGGTTAAAATATCGTAATAATATTTGTGATAATCTAAGTTATCGCTTATATTCAGAATATTCTATCGAAACACCAACTGAGAATCAAATCTATGATTATGGGCTCTTTCTTATTGATAAAATTCTTCTTGCCTCAAATAAGTTACTTTCTGAATATCCCTCTATGTCAATGTGGAATCGTAACTGAGATCTTAGTAATGAAAATCGACTTATTTCAGAACAGTTAATGTGGGACCATAAAGAGCTTCAAAATTTAGTCAATACTCATACACCACTATTAAATACTAAACAATATGCTACATATCAAAATATTCTTAATTCAGTAACAAATAATCATGGAAATTTATTTTTTTTAAATGGACCTGCTGGAACTGGCAAAACTTTTGTATATAATATGCTTGCAATAACAGTTCACAATGAAGGCAAAATTGCACTTTGTGTAGCATTTTCTGGTATTGCAGCCCTTTTACTTATTGGTGGACGGACAGCACACTCACTCTTTAAAATTCTAATTAATATTAATGAACTTTCTATTTGTTCATTTGATAAAAACTCTGATCTTGCAGAACTTCTTCACCAAACTGCACTTATTATTTGGGATGAAGCGCCTATGCAACATCATTATTGTTTTGATGCAGTTGATCGCTTTTTATGTGATATTTGTGATGATGATCATCCCTTTGGTGGAATTACTGTTGTATTCGGTGGTGATTTCTGACAAATCCTTCCAGTTGTTGTAAAAGGCTCAAGAGAACAAATAGTTACTGCTTCTCTTCAACATTCACTTCTTTGACAATATGTAACTGTACTTACTCTACAAAAAAATATGCATTTGGAAATAGAATCAGAAGAAAATAAACATTTTGCTAATTGGCTATTAAATGTAAGAATATAATTTTTTCAACTTATACTCACTTCATTTTTTTATTATTACTAAATAATTATTTGGTGTATATAGGTTGGAAATGGTTTAAATATAGAACTTGATAATAGAATTATACTTTCAGAACATATGAAAGTTGATCCTGATATATCATCTCTTATTAATAAAATCTATCCTAATATACAATTAGGTGCACCAAATGATACATATCTAAAAGATCAAATGATTTTATCAGCTCGCAATGATGATGTTCATAATATTAACTATGAAGTTCTTAATATTTTTTTAGAAAACAAACGCATATATTTAAGTGCTGACAAAGCTGTAATAGAAGAAGGTGCTGATAATGGAAATATATATCTAATTGAATATTTAAATACACTTAATCCATCTGAAATGCCACCTGCCAAACTTACTCTTAAAATTGGATGTCCTATTATTCTTCTTTGAAACCTTGCTCCTTCACTCGGTCTTTGTAATGGCTCTCACTTAATTGTAGTTCAGCTTACAGATTATGTTATTGAAGCATGTATTCTTAGTGGAAATCATACTGAAAATTTAGTTTTTATTTCTAGAATTACTTTGAAACCTTCCTCAACAAGTCTACTATTTATCTTTACACGAAGACAATTTCCTATTCGTCTCGCTTTTGCTATTACAATAAATAAATCTCAGAGCCAATTCTTAGCACATGTTGGACTAGATCTTCGAACTTCTGTTTTCTCATATAGTCAACTTTATGTAGCTCTTTCCCGTTGTATTTCACCCTATTCAATCAAAGCTCTTTTTCCATTTGATTCTTCTAACAATACTACTTTAAATGTAGTTTATCCTGAAGTACTTTTAGAAAATTAACTTTACTAAATAGATACAACAAATATATTCATACTTAGTTCTTTTAAATAGCTCTTAAAACTAAAGTATAAAATATAATTAATACTTTAATATCATATAATAAAAACTTTAATTTTCTTACTTTCTATTACTTTTGGTATAAATATAAAAAATAATATCATAATTTTCTATTTCTATTTTTTGCAAAATAAAAAATTTATAATTAAATTTGTTAACCAATCTGATTTTTAAAATTCATATATACAAATTGAAATATACCTTTCTGTACTATATTACAAACTCTTTTTACTAAACCTCATAATTTAAATTACTTTATTTTTACACCATTGCTAGCTTAACTTAATTATATAATTAATTCTACTATATTACTTTTTTTTAAAGTTTTATTTATTAAATTTTTTGTTATATTAATTTACAAATTTATAATTATTACAATAAAAAATTTTTACAACCGTGCACAACGGCATGGGTCAAATGCTAGTTACAATCTAAGGGATAGCTTT